GAGCCCTGCTTGGAGGTGGGCGGCCCTGGCCGGGGCTCCTCCCGGGTCGGGCGCGCGGCATCCGGGCTCCAGCGTCTTGCTCCCTCGGGAGACTGACCACCTCGAGTCCGCGCCGGGTCAGCCTCTGGGCCGCTCCTGCGCATTCATCCTTGGACCCGTCCAGCTATGTGCATTGCTCCGCTTAAGCATCTCTCCGTTATCTGCTTATTTTCCTTCCACAAGCAGCAAAGGGGCCTGTGAGCTGCTTTGCAAATCATCAAGAGGGAGCTGGGCCACCTATTCCTAAATTAGTGGCCACAGGAGAGAAAAGCTTCAGGTCATACAGCTGCTCTTCCTCCTCCCTGCTCCTCCTCCATTTCATGCCCCTGGAAAGGATGCAGACCCATCCCAGTTACCACAGATGGGCTTGACCCCAGCGCAGCCAGCCTGAAGGGGAGAAACATCCCTCTTGCCTTCCTGCATCACTGTCATCCTGTGGCCATTCTTCCAAGGCTGGCAGGGCAGGGCGAGCCCCCACGCCCATCCCCACCACGGAGGACCAGCACTCGTCCCCCGCAGGAGATGCCGCCCCAACTGAAGTCTGCTTGTTATAGCCGCACTAAAACACAAGAGCCAAGAGCAGTTTTAACATCCAGAGTTTTTATTCGTACAACTGTTGTTGCTTTAGAAAGAGAGACAACTTTTAGGTTTGAAGAAAAGGGAGGCAGCTGGTTCCAAGTTTAAAGGCTGGTTTATTTTTCACTTGACTGCAATTCTGCCTAGGGCAGAATAAAGCAAGACCAGCCATCAGCCAAGCAGCCTCAGTTCACAATAGCATTTCATTAAAAACCACATCTCTTGTAATTTACAAGTGTGCAAAGTTATGAGATTATAAATGATTACTAAGAAGCATTTTGCTTACTAACATGAAACACCACATTTCTGTGATGGATCATAATTAACCAGGTATACAGGTTTTCTTTGGCCACATGGTCTCTGCAGCACACGGTGCTGGCATGGCTGGCCAATCTCCAGGGAGCAGGGCCTGGGGGGACTGCCAGGTGCCCGCAAGGGCTTCTGCCCCACTTCTCCCCCCCGGCAGCTGCCCCCTGGGATGACTTCAGCATCAACCACTCAAAGAACCACTTAAGAGAAAGATACAATGTGCATCAACTGATCAACTGCTCCTGGTCTGCAAGTGAATCACACTTATTCTGAAAAGGGACCAGTAGCAATTGCTGCAAATTCATTACCGAAAGTATCTGTAACTGTTAATATTGGACTTACCAATCATCAAGACTGAGCCTTTAGAAAAGGATAAGATAAACACCGTCTCTCCCCCAGTTTCAGATGGGCCTTTCTGCAGCCCCCGAGAAAGTAGTGGAGGGTCAAAGTGTCTTCTGAGTTGTCACCAGGCAAGCAAGTTGCCCAACACACCTGGCACTAAAAAGAGATCCCCCAAAATCCCGAGTCAATTCAAGCAAGTGCCTTTTCTAGAAAGCCACCTGGTTTCACATTAATGAGTTTTGCAATTAGTCTTGGGATCTGTGACAGTGTTTAACATCGCTAAGATGCCCCACAGAGCATCTTCAGACCCGCTGCTCCATCTCAGGGCAGCAGCTCAGAGGCAGGAAGTGCCTGTCGCTGGGTGGTGCCCAGCATACTGGAGCAAAGGCTGCTCCTCCTCCATTCCTCGACTTGCCTGTCTGCCAGGGTCAGCACCAGAGGAGGAGAGGATGGACGCAGAGCAGCCTCTTGGCTGGTCCCAGGAGAGAGGAAATAATGTGGAGGCCTGAGGCAGATATTTTCAAATCTTACTCTGGAGTAGGAACACAGAACTTTGGGGAGGTCAAAGACAGCTGAATTCTGGCTCAAAATGAAATGTTATGCTTTGCAATCCAAGAACACAGAATATCATGTTCCAAAGCAAGGGAAAGGAGAACACTGGGACAACCAAACCAGCAGAGGAGCCGGAAGCCCTTTCAGAATCCCTTCCCCACAGGTCAGTTTCCACCCCCTGGACACTCATTGCCCTTGCCAGGAACTTTTCCATGAGCATCAAGTTCTTGGGGTGGACAGGATACCCCAAACCCAAGTGATGGACCCCAGAACTGCTTTTCCCACCACAGGTCATACAAGGTAATGAAAAGAGACCACCACCACAAGGAGAGTGTTTCCAGGCCACCTGGAAGCAGTGCTGACAGGACTGCAAATCAGAGGTGTCCCTGACCTCTCCCTCCCTCTGACTTGTTTTGTGACTGGCCACATCCCCTGGCAGCCAACTGGGGAATGGCCACGGCTGTAACACATAATGCCACCTTCTCCCTCAGGGCCCTCTCCAATTCCAGCTGTGTCCCACAGCCAGGAAGTTCCAACCTTGCTCCACTGTTCCTCCCTGTATCAACAAGGAGCAGCTACTACCAGGAAGGAGACATGCACTTTGCACCAGCAGGGCAGAGTGCCCCTTCCAAGCTGCTGCCTGCATTCCACCTGGCACAAACCATCCTGGTCAAAGAAGCTTGGTGCCAACAAGCAGACAGGGCAGCTGGTGCCGCAGAAAGGACACCGGAGAGCCTTCATGCGGCTTGAGAAAGACTGCTCAGCATCAGGGTTCCTGGGGCACTTCCTTGGATTGCTTGAGGCAGGCCCTTCCCTCCCACCTGCCCACAGTCTGTCGGCGACTGTTGGATGATGAAGGTCTCTAACTGCAGGCAGAGGAGGACATTCCACCCCCTGCCCCCGAGCCGGGCCTCCCTCCTCCAGCAGCGTCACACCCCAGGGTGCTGAGTCTTGTACGTGAGGATTTCAACAGCCAGTTGCTGCGGGTCCAAGAGCTGTGGGAAGCGGCTCATGACAGCATCCACCAGGTGAGGGTGGAAGATCCCACAGAGCTTGACGTGCACCTTTGCACGCTCTTCTGCAAAACTGTCAGGGGTGGACCAGGGGCAAGAGGAGTCCTCGTAGGCCGGGCAGCATGCCCTCGGCAGGTCTTGGTGCACTGCAGGCCCCGGCCGGTATGGCTCAGACCAATACTCGCGTCCAGGGCCCAGAGGGGAGTTGGTGGCCACGCTGTACCCGGGGAAAGAGCGAGGAGCGGCCTGGCCAGAAGGCGATGCTTCTGTGCTGTAGGGCAGGAAGCTCTGAGGCAGGTACTGGCTGTAACTCCTGGATCCAGGGCCAGGAGGGACCCGGTAGGCAGGTACCTGCCCCCTGCAGCGCCCCCCCCCAAGCAGCTCTTGCTGGCTCCCCTTGACTTGGCTGGCTGAGGGGCTGGGCCACATCTCAGAGAGCTGGTTTTCAAGGGAGCCAATGCCTGAGTCAAGGTGATCTTGAGAGACGTGGGCAGCGGAGTCCCTGGGAAGCAGCTGGTACTGATCTGAGCTCCTGTAACTGTGACTCTTCTGGGTGGGGGCACCGCGGGCACCCCCTTTGAGGAAGAGGGGTGGCACATTGCCAGGCCTAGCTTTATGGGTGGGGTTTGTCTTCTCAGCCAAGACCTTCTCGCCCTCTGCAGGTGCAGAGCCCCAGAATTCCCCGTGGGAGGGTCTCCAGCTCCTCCTCTCCTCCTTGGTGGCTGGTGCACCCCTGGTTGGAGAGAGCCTGGCGTTGGCCCGGAGCTCGTCGGCCACTGAACGCTGCAGCTGGTGCGGCCGCTCAGGGTGGTAGAACTTGCACTTGATTCCGTATGTGCACTTCTTGCCTGCAAAGAGAAAGGCAACCTGTGCAACAAGAGTCCGCAGCCCCACGCCACTGCTTTGCCCTGGCAGGAGAGACCAGCCTTACCGTAAGGGCACTGCTGCTTCTTGTGCTCAGGCACTGCTGGCGTCTTCCTCAGAAAGTTATCTAGGCTGGGTCCATGGCGCCCCAAGGGGTCATCGGGAGGCATGAACCTGGAGAGGAGGGGTACCACGTCCATCAGGAGCTGCAGGTCGTGAGACCAAGCATGGCACTTCCCTCATCTGCCAGGGAAACAGTTGGGCTGTCGTAATGCCCAGAGCCCTGGTGACTCCACCCATCCTGAAAGACTGGCTAGAGGTGTAGCAAAGGCTGGTGGAGCTGGCAGAGACTTTGCTGGGCAGTATGTCTGTTGCCTGGCTCAAACAGATGAAGCAGGTGGGCTGCGAATTAGAAGAGTGCTTCCCAACCATGAACTTCAAGTTCCAGAATTCTCAACCATAACCTTGGAGGCTGCTCCTCACCCCCCAGAATCCTGGGCAGCCTCACGTTCAACATCCAGCCTTCCCCAGTGCCAAAGGACTTACTTGTCATTGACAAATGAATACATAAGCAAGTGTTCCTCAATGAACTTCTTCCACTCTGGCCGTTCTGCTTGCAGATCCCGGTAGACATCATTTGAAACCACAATGCCATCAGACTCATAGGCCAGCTTCACAATGAAGCGGTCATCGTAGCAGACCACCCGCTTGCCTCCCACCCGCCGGGAAGGGGTGAAGACAAGGATGCTCTTCTTCTCAAGGTCATGGAGGATGTGCTGGTCTGCAGCAAGAGGCGATGAAGTCATTCCACTGGCTTTGGAGAGGCTGCTACTTACAGAAGAAAGATCAAGCGAACCAAGGTGGTGCTCCAGAGATACCACCTTGGCAGAAAGAGGCCCTTGGCTGACCTAGATATGTTGCCTGCCAAATCACTTCCTTTCTTGCTCACCCAGACGTCCCTCCTCCTCCTCCTCCTCCTCCTCCTCCTCCAGGCGCTATATCCCACTGGACAGCTTTGCCCTTCTTAAATTTCTAAACAATGTTATGCTTCCAGAGGGGCAAAACTATAAATCAATCCCCTAAAAATGCCATCACCTTTCTTTCTTTTTTTTAATGGAGTTCCAGGGAAGCAACAGCGAACGGAAGATAGCTTTGCTTTCAGTGGCGCGATGACCGTGGAAGAACGAGCGGCCGATGAACAGATCGGCACCTCGAAATTCCTCCCTGGACAAAGGGAAGGACTTGGGATTGCCCATAGGGGTCCTTACAGAGACTCCCCATGATGAGACCATAAAACAGGGGTCTCTGGTGGGTTTTAGCGCTCTGGGAGCCGGAGAGTCAGCTTGCCCAAGCCGAGGTTTGGAGCCTTCAAAGAGACGCTGGGTTCACCCACTTCCTCTCTTAATCACTTCTGTAAATGGCTTGTCAGTTGCTTTTTGGATACTAAGAACCTTCAGAAAGACAAGTTTTATTTCACTGGGTGATTTTTCTTCAATCCTCAACTTTTTTTTTTTCTTTTTTAACTGCAAGCTTAATGACGCTGAAAGTTGCTGGCCAGAAATGGTCAACGCTTCAGCGGTTCGAGTCCAGCCTTCGCGTTAGCA